TTTTCAGGTTTCTCTAGTTACTCACTCAGTTAGGCAAGAATGACATGGTCATTGGTCACGGTGCAGCTAGAATCAGATAGAAGTAGTGGTGGTAAGCTTCATTGTTGTCAGTCGTTTTAATTTGCAATTTTTGTTTGATTCAGTCTGTCATTGCCAGAGAACTCAAGTGTTGGTCTTGTTTTGTGCCCTGTTGTCTCGGGAATTGCTTGAAAGTGACTGTGCGATCCGCCGACACCTGAAACCACATCGTGAGAATTATGAACAGAAATATTGGCTCGCTATTTCGCTTTCTGTTCTAAGGCACTGTCCGCGATCAGGTAAAGAATTTGGAAATGGCGTCGGAGGGTAGAGCGGCCCACGAAGATTCACCTTTTCGAGGCAAAAAATCGTAAGGGAGGGGCGCTATAGCGCAAAGGTCCAGTGACGCCTCCTTTTCTCCAGTGACTCCGCCTCCAGACTCCGCCTTCAAGGCCCGCCTTTCAGTGAAAACGAAGCTGCAGGACGAAAAAGCATGAAAATCGTCACTTGTACGGTCGTAGAGTTCTTATCGGGAATCAGCTGTGCGGATGAGGGCGTAGTGTTGGAAATGGAGTTAATTGGGCATGTACAAAGTGGGACCGAAATGGGGTTCTATCTAGGGCGGTTGCATGTTTTTATCTGCTTTTTTCTCTACTATCGAGTTACTCAGAACATTTTCGTCCATATGCAAACGCCTAGTAGGTATATCTGTGTTGGCGAATGATCGCAGGCGGTGGACCACAGTTAAGCCCATGAGTGTCCTCTTAACAAACTTCTTAATGATAGCTTCATCTAGATAGACAATGCGGTCTTCGCTTTTGTTCATCAAACTGAGCTCAAAAGAGGGATGAAGCTACTGTAATTACTACTACTAGCTATTTTAAGTGTTCGCAGCTTCAGTCACACCCTTGAAAATTGAAATTTCAGATGTTCTTGAAAACCCACAATCATTACAGCTCCTTTGTTAATGTAATGGTCTTGATAACCCGGCGCACTGAACAACGTGATTACTTTTCGGTCGCTCGAGATTTCGAACCCTTCATCCACGGCCTGAATTAGATGCATCGCTGGAGCGATGAAACATGGATTATACCTGCTTTTACAAATCGCACCTGATGCCCGCGGACTATCATAAGAATGCCCATTTTCGCGCACCGATCTGCCACCACGTCACTTCCGAACACTAAAATTCAGCTGCTATGTAGGAATACTGTTCGATGTTTTGTTATGATAACTGCTGTTTAACGCCGCAGTACGCCACAAGAATGCTGAGTTGTGGGCAAAAGTCGTGCCCCAGGCGGGAGTCGAACCCGCACCTCACGCTTTCCGGGCGAGTGCGCTATCCGTTACGCCACCAGGGCCGCTTTTACCCTCTCAGCTTAACGGCTTATGCCGTAACCTTACAGCACTCACACGTTTAACTTGGTGAGCCGGTCAGCC